GTCTTCTGTTTCCATGCCAACAGAGGACAGAGAAGCAGCTGGAGTCGATAGATGAGCTGTACCTGGAGTACGCCAAGAGAGCGGCACCTTTCAACAACTGGATGGAGGGAGCTATGGAGGACCTGCAGGACATGTTCATCGTCCACAATATTGAGGAGATCCAGGTATCTGGGAAGTCAAGTGGTGAATAAACAAGTGCAGCATATGAAGCATACAGCTGAGGTCCAGCACTGAGCCAAAGAAACGTTCCAGTGTTTGAAGCCACAGAGCTGCGTTTATCCCACAAAAACAGGAAACCCAGCAAACGTGTTTCTTTCCTCCTCTCAGGGTCTGATCACAGCCCACGAGCAGTTCAAGTCCACCCTGCCCGAGGCCAACAAGGAGCGCGAGGCCATCCAGTCCATCCAGTCCGAGGTGCAGAAGATCGCCCAGAGCAACGGCATCAAGCTGAGCAGCGGAAACCCGTACACCTCCATCACACCTGAGAGCATCAACAGCAAGTGGGAACAGGTGAGCTGCTGCCTCAGCTCTCTAATGCTCAGGTTTAGCTCCTGAAGTTTGCTTCAGGAAGTGAGATGGAGTACTCGGCAGAAAACTGTTTAACGAAAGCTGACGTTGATCATTTTAAGGCAATAAACGTGTAGCTCATTCATGCCAGAGCAGTAAACTATTAATGCTGCTTCAATGACGCAGCGCAGACTTTCCCGGTGAATCCTGCACAGAAGAAGAACCTTTTGTCCAGTGTTTAAAAACGCTGCCCTCCACAGGCTGAGTGACTGTTTTTCTGCAGCTGGTGTTTCACGTTTGTGTGTTTGTGTGTGTTTGTGTGGGTGCAGTTGTTTCTAATTCTTCTTTGTGTGCATTTGCAGGCGATGGCTATGGTGCCACTGCGTGACAACGCCCTGCAGGAAGAGCTGAACAAGCAGAACTCCAACGACACTCTGAGAGCCACGTTCGCCACTCAGGCCAACACGGTTGGCGCTTACATCCAGGCCAAAATGGAGGTAACGGATCAGCCCCCACAGTCACGACGTCCTCAGCATTATGTCGAGGTTTTCACGTTTGCAGACACTTTGTGAAACACAGAGCAAATGTAAGACAGGGTGCAGGAGATTTACCCACAGCCTGAAGAGCTCTTCAGTTTGTAGATGTTGTATCCATGAGCTTTGTGTTTAGATTAGATCGTCACTGTGCATGCACACTGCGCTACTGAGAGCAGGAGGAAATGTGCTTCATCTATTCATAGTTCAGGAACCGTAAATGACAACTCTTCAGCATCCTTACAGAAAAACATCTTACAGTTTATTTAGAAAAGTGTTTTTTATTTTTATAAATATGTTCGAGTGTCAGCGTTTCAGGTGTTTGTGTGTTTGTGTTGGCAGGAAATTGGCAGGATATCCATCGAAATGAACGGCACCCTGGAGGACCAGCTGACCAACCTGAAGGAATACCAGAAGAGCATCATATCATACACGCCCGAAATTAACAAGCTGGAGGGATACCACCAACACATCCAGGAGGCGCTCATCTTCGACAACCAGTACACTTCCTACACGATGGAGGTAACGCAAACGCGCACAAAACCTTCAGCGATGAACGAATGAATGAAGTCTGTTTCACCTCCCAAATGAAAATGTTTGAAAGTAGAACAGCTGTCGCATCTCAGTTCTTAACCTCTCCTGTCAACCCCGCCCCATCACTGCAGCACCTCCGGGTGGGCTGGGAGCAGCTGCTCACCACCATCGCCAGAACCATCAACGAGGTCGAGAACCAGATCCTGACACGTGACGCCAAGGGCATCAGCCAGGAGCAGCTGTACGAGTACCGCGCCTCCTTCAACCACTTTGACAAGGTCAGGGCCCGAGCTCTGCGCTCACCGGTTATTTATTACCCCTGCTCTGTTATCCTGTTATCAAACCTCACAGTATTACAGAGTATTCGTGTCAGTATTAGGCGTTTAGGTTGGCAGTGAAACCTGAGGAGAAACCCTGTTTTTGTTTCATGTGTTGATCTAAAAATTATAAACATGAAGCGTTTAATGATTTTTACCATTACATATACAATACATGATGGTGTAGACCAGCTATGAT